GCAGCAATGTGAACTTTGCCGTTACGTGGTTGATGCTACTATGTGAGGGTGGCCTTGGGCCCTTATTGCCCTGCCTTCTCTGCCGCAGTGGACAGCATCCCCACTGAACTGCAAGCCAAACTCTTCCTCCCTTAAAAAATAAAAAATGTTTTTTTTGGTCCACAAAGTTTGGAAAGAGACTAGTATCTCAGGCAGTGAGCACATGAAAAGGAAAGCATTCCAGGACATGGCAAACTTAAACACAGTAACCAGGGGCGGGGCAAAGAGAAGAGGCACAAAGAGCCATTCTCCCTGGAAAAGGAGAGATCCCTTCAGCAAAGAGCAGAAGACAGGCCGGGGGTTCTGGAAAGACTGTACCTGTTGCAGTAACTTCTTGATTCCGCCATAATCATTATCTGAGATGGAATAAGCTTCAAATTCAATATTCACTTCCTGTAAATAGTATGTGAAACAAATCGTCAAAGATTTACAAATGATGCAGGGAGTGTTCCCATTTAACAAATTTCTCCCCCTCAGTTTCCATTCTTTTAGGTCTGTTCTCTATCTGCAGAAAATGACTCAGGAAGTTAGGGTTGAGAAAAACGTGAAATGGTAGTCTAATGTGGTGGTGCAAACCAGCAACTTGGGAGACAGAAGAAGGAAGATCAACAATTTGAGAACAGCCTAGGCTACATAGCAAGATGTTTCATAACAGGGAATGGAAGGAGGGAAATGTTACCTTGTCAGGCCTCAAAACAGGCAAACCTAAAATCAGGATGGTGCTATGGGCCTTCAATGCCAATTTGCAGGTTTGGGGAAGGGGTATAAAAACCTCAATTTTGAGGTCATCCTGTTCTTCACAGGCAGACTCTTTCTCAAAGAAAAAAAAGGTAAATATTTTCAAAGATTGCCACCTAGACAGATTACAAAGGCCATTCATACCATTTCCTCATGTGATGCAAAAGCCTGAAGGTACAAAACACAGTGACTTGATTTAAATGTGAACACAGCCTCATCCAGATAAAACTGTTAAGCAGCCACAAAGAAGGAAAAAAAAAAAGATTATTCACCTGGCTTCAAAAAGCAATTGAAAAGACAAGATTACTTCTAAGTCCCCAGAAACTGCCTAGAGCTTAATTGACCCAGAGATGTGAGGCTACATTCTGTCACTTGGCAAATATTTACTAAGTAACAGCAGGTACCAAGCCTTGAGAGGAAATGGTGAAGCCTCGCCTGGTGGCACAGGCCTTCGATCCCAGCACTCCAGAAAATGAGGAAGGGCGATGGGAGTTGAAGGTAAAGATGTGAGTTCAAGGTCAAACAAGTGACATAGCAAGACCACACCAATAAATAAATAAATAGGGGATGAAATGGTGAGCAAAGCAGATGGGAATGACTGCTCTTGTGGAGCAGACACAGCAGACAGAAAACAAGTCTAAAGTTTCAACTGTATGTGCCATTCAAATGGGGGAGGGACGGGCAGAGAGAGTGCAGCAGGTAAAAGCACTTACTGCCAAAACTGACTACGTGAGTTCAATTCCTGGACTGAGATGGTGGGAAGAGAACTGGTTGCTGCAAATTGTCTTCTAATTTCCACATGTGTACTATGGGATATGAGCATGTGCATTTTCCCACGACCACGAGCAAGTACATAAACCCAGAGAAGAGGGATTTTAAATAAATCTGTAAAAGAATATGGGGATGATGGTAAGATAGCTCAGGAGTGCTGGGCCGTGGTGGCGCACACCTTTAATTCCAACACTTGGACAGAGGCAGACGTATCTCAATGAGATTCAAGACCAGCCTGGTCTACAAATGAGTTCCAGGATAGCCAAGACTATTACACAGAGAAGCCCTGTCTCAAATAAATAAATAAATAAATAAATAAATAAACAAACAAATAAATAAATACAAAAAGACCCACACAGTAGGTAAAATCAGAGAACCGACTCCTACAGCTGCCCTCTGACATTTACACATCTGGCTATGGCACATACACATACAAATAAATTGAAAGTACATACTTAAAGCCGGGAGTTGGTGGCACACACCTTTAATCCCAGCACTCAGGGAGGCAGAGGCAGGGGATCTCTGTGAGTTCGAGGCCAGCCTGATCTACAGAGCAAGTTCCAGGATAGGCTTCAAAGCCACAGAGAAACCCTGTCCCGAACCGCCCCCCCCCAAAAAAAAGAAGGCATATGTCCCCCAGTCCTCTAACCACTTTGGTAAGCAGCTAGCAACAGAATCCAAGAGAAAAAGCTACCTCTGCAGGACCTGAGCTATACACATTCCTTTATTCTTGATAGACCATTGTTTTTTAAAAGGTTTGAGATTGATTCTGATCTTCCAGGATAATTTTCATGGACTTTTACATCAGAGAAATTAATTGTGGGTGAATAAATGTATCAGAAAATGAAAGCCTTCTTCAATTAAATGAAGGAAGAAATACCCACCAAGGATTTCCTCTTCTCTTCACGGTACTGTCAAACAACAAACACAGAAGCTGATGGATCCCCCCCACCCCACCTTTGTTTCTTTTTTCCTCTACATAACTATATATACACATTTTGCCTTAACTTGCTGTGTGGGCTAACTTGTAAAATAGTGACAATTCCTAAGTTTATGGTGCTGATATGAGAATTAAATGAGCTAATACAAAATGCACAGAGCCTGGGGGTATATATAGTTATTGTTATTATCACTGTCAATTTCTAGAGGGTAAATTCCTACAAGTTACTGAGTCAGGAGTTATATGTACTTTAAATTTTGATAAATTCTGTCAAATTACCCTCCAAAGAAGTTGCACAGATTTATGCTTCCACTAACAGAGCATGTAAGTGCTTATATTGCTACACTATTATCAATGATGGCATTCTTTCTGTTGCTGTGAAAAACAGCATGACCAAAAGCAACTTGGGAGGGAAAGGGTTTCTTTTATCTTACACTTCCAGGTAATTCTTCCTTGTGGAGGGAAGTCAGGACAGGAACTCAGGGCCAGAACTGACTGAAGCAAACCACAGAGACCACTGTTTACTGGCTTGTTTATACCACCCAGGACCAGGGGTGGCATCACTCACAGTGCACTGAACTCTCCCATATCAATTAATTAAGCAGATGCCCACAGACAAGCACACAGGCCAACGTGATTGAGGAAATCTCTCATCTGTGGTTCCCTCTCCCCACATTTTATAATTACAGTACACACATTTTTAGTCACTGGCAATCTGTTAAGATTTTCCCATGTTAATGAAAGAAGTGCTGACTTCTAAAACCCTAAGGTAGCAAAACAGCTGGTAAACATTTTTCTAAGTGAAAATGTTGAGATGGTGTTCAAAGCAAGATAGACAAAGCAAAGCAATGACTTGGAAGGGTAGACAAGCTACATATCCACATCATAGCCTCATTCCCAAAGCCGCACTACAGTTCAACTCCTCCTCCCTTGCACATTCACGTCAATGACCATTTTCACTCATTCTCTCTTGCCTGTTCTGAGCCAGCCATCCTGGCTGAATCCATATTCTACCCCACCCCCACCCCATCCCCCTGTCTTTCAAAAACAGGATTTAGGATTTTTCTACAAAGGAAATAGGAAGCCATTAGAGCATTCAATGAGGGAGAGTAGAATAGACCAGCCAGATCTCTCTGGCAGTAAATGGAGTACAGACAGTAGAAGGACAAAAATGGAAAGGCATGACAGTGAAAAGCTACTATAGATGGCTGGAAGTATGACTCAATGGTAAAGTGCTTGCCTACCATGCACAGTATACTGGGTTTGATTCGCAGCACTTCAAAAACAACAAAATAAAGTTACAGGTAATTTCGCTGTGGCTATCCCAGTCTTAATTTCATCTAAAAAAAAAAAAAAAAAAAAAAAAAAAAAAAAGGAAAACCTTTATAGTAACCAGACAAGAGATGATGGAAGTGTGAACTAGAATAGTAGCAGGATCAATATGTGCCTGGATACTGAAGGAAAAAGCTAATAGAATTTACTGATGGACTGGGTGAGGGGTGAGATAGGAGGCATAACACCGGCAAACTGGGGAACTATTATAAACCCTGCTTTGGACCGTCAAGTCTGAAGTCCCTAGACAGCAATTGTCTTGAACACTGTTTGAATCCTAATCATTCACATAGAAAGAAGGGCTTCAACCACCGGAAAGTAGGTACTAAGAAAGGACATCAGTTCTGTGAGACCACAAAACCAAATCTGACCACGTTGGCTGTCCCAGGGAGGCAGGAAATACGGTCTAGCTGTGATTAGACAGACAGACAGACAGACAGACATAACGAAGGGGAAACTATGCAGGATGAAGAGCGTTTGAAGAGTGTAGGACAATGCAGGTAGCCTTTACGAAACTGCAAAGGGCCAGAGTGAGCAAGCCAGTGTAGCAGGGAGAGGAGAGAAGAAACTTCGTCGGTACGCTGGCCCAGTAAAGACTTGGGCCACTGAAGTAAGTGTGTGTGGGATTGGCCGGCTTCTGGGGGATGTAATTCACCCGGGCAGGGCTTCAAGGAGTTATGTGTAGAAAAGCCTGAGGTGAGAACCTGGGTAAGAATGTACCACGTAAGGTTCAACTCCTGAACCACAGCGACTATCACTTTACCACAGCTTCGGTTGCCTGAATTTTGTTTTCTCCCAAAAATATGGTCACATGTGCCTCACCTCGTCCACGATCTCGTCTTCATCCTCTTCCTCGTCACTGTCTTCATCGTCTTCTTCCTCACCCTCCACCTCATCCTCTTCTTCCTCCTCGCGCTGGTCCTGCTGTCCCAGAGGCCGCTGAACCCCGTTTCCCAACGCTCGCTTCTTAGCTTTGGATGCCATGCTGCCGGCCACACTGCGCCTGCGCAAATCCCGCCCCTGTCCTTCCGGTCTATCGTTGGCCTAGGGGTAAACAGGCTCAAAAAGTTCGCCGCGGAGTCGGCGCGACCCAGACAGAGCCCTGGATGAGTCCCGCAGAACTAATGTGACAGTTTTATCTTCACCGCGGGGTCATGGTGTGACCCTCTCTTCTTCCCTCCATCCTCCTGCCGTCCTCATTCTCTCCGGGTCTTCCCTGTGTGCGCAGTGGTTGGGCCCATCCTGCGTTCCTTCCGCCGGCGCCTAGATGCCTGTGCGCGTGCACAGCCAGATGTGTACGGGCGGCCCACGCGCCTGAGGTACGAGCCCGGGGACCGCTAGCTGCCGGGTGAGGGGCGGCTCCCGGTTGTCTGTGCTCAGCAGCCCCGACAGGGACCGCGAGATTCTTGCCCCGCGGCGTGCAGGTCGGTCCTGCCTCTGAGCCCGCGAGGTAGGTGTCGGGCTCAGGACCCGACTAGGGCACAGGTCTGTGGACTTGCACGCAGGCCCTAGCGATCCGTGACTCCCGTGCAAAGAGGGGCTGACCGGCGCTCCCGGAGTCCGCGCCAGAAGGCCGGCTGATCCTGGCAGGGGCCGGGCCCATGCCATCTCCCTAACAAAGTTCTCAGTAGACAAGACGACCACATGGGACCACAGTGTCGTTAAAAGACTTGCTTGAAAAGAATAGAACCGAAAGAAAGGGATTGCAGCAAGTTAGCGAGTGTTACCCCGCCTCTGCCACTACTTGTGGATAAATGAAGTACTGGTCCAAAGTTTCAGATTTTAAGAGAAGCCAGATTTTTGCAAGGAACATCCTGAAGGTTAGAACCTTCTACCAGTCAGGTTTATCCTACAGTCTGCTGACTTGAAGCTCCTTGTAAAGGTTATTGAGAAAGATCATTAACTAGAGAAAACATTAACTTCCTGACAAGAGGCTCTGTGATTCTCCCCCTCCCTTTTTTTTTTTTTTCTTTAAAATTACGGCAGCATATGAGGTGTGTTTAATTCCGAAACCAGAGTGAGCTGCCCCTAGAAGTAAGGAAGCCTTTGCCAGAGAAATTTAGGGAATGTGAATAGCCCCAATGATTCTTCATCAGTCAGGACACCAAGGCCCCCATTAACCCAGAGTTCCCATGACGGTGAGATCTAGGTGTCCCGGGAGCTTCTTAAGTACCAGTCTATATCGTGGACAGTAATGACTCCAGGATTACACCTCTGATAGAGTAACTTAAAATGGCTACTTCCTAAATCCAGACCTCTACTTGGGTTTTGTAATTGTCCAAAAAAACATATTCTTGTAATGCATAACTATGACAATGCTAATAATAGAAAAAAGATTTAAAACATGTCAATAGAATTGCACTGAGACTCATGAACAATTTTCCCCCAAGTCTTTATAGTTTTTGTTGTTAGTATGGTAAAATATGCATAACAAAATTTAACACTTAGTGCATGGGCTTTTTTGTTTGTTTGTTTTTTTGGGTTTTTTGGTTTTTTTGAGACAGGGTTTCTCTGTGTAGGTTTGGAGCCTATCCTGGTACTCGCTCTGGAGACCAGGCTGGCCTCGAACTCACAGAGATCCGCCTGCCTCTGCCTCCCGAGTGTTGGGATTAAAGGCGTGCGCCACCAACGCCCCGTTGGTGGTTCTTGGCTCATGTTTATCTATACTGTTTCATAGGCATCACCACTATTAAACAGTTCCCCAGTATCAGGCTGCAAGATGGCTTAGTGGGTAAAATGCTTGATATACCAGCATTTCCAGCACCCACACGCTGCAACTGTAACCCCAGCACTGGGGTGATGGGTAGGACTAAGACAGTAGATCCAGGACTTGCTGAGCTTTAGGTTCAAGAGAGACCTGTTCTCAAAAAATGAGCTTAAGATGATAAGAGGCAGCCAGGCGTTGGTGGCACACGCCTTTAATCCCAGCACTCGGGAGGCAGAGGCAGGCGGATCTCTGTGAGTTCGAGGCCAGCCTGGTCTCCAGAGGAAGTACCAGGATAGGCTCCAAAGCTACACAGAGAAACCCTGTCTCGAAAAACCAAAAAAAAAAAAAAAAAAAAAAAAAAAGAGTGATAGAGGACAGTGCTCATCATCAACAGGTACACAGGCACACAAAGAAAAAAAAACACAGTTCCCTAATATCACTTTCCACAGCTCCCTGGCAGTCACCTACTTCATCTGTATAAATCTGACAAGGGACCTTAATCACAGTACTCATGCATCATGATTTCTTGCCTAAGGCTGAACAGTTCCATTTCATACATGGTCTTCATTTTCAAGTTATGTCTGGACACTATTTGCTCATAGGTTTACCTATTAGACAGTGCTGCCATGAACATGAGTGTACAAATACCTCACTCGAGTCTCTGCTTTTGTTCTTTTGGAATCTGTGCCTAGAAGTGCAATAGCATAATCATGCAACTAATTCTATTTTTAAGTTTTTGAATGACTTTGTTTAATTTGCAAATTTTCCTGCATTGCTTCACAAGGTGGAAAAGGGGAAAGGCCTCTCTTTGTGCCATCGGATTAGTCCCTAATTTGGAGCCTGTGGTCAGGGTATGCACAGATTAGATGGCCTACCTGTGCTTTACTGACTACAGGGAACATAGAAGTAGATTGACAACTTCTCATTCCTCTTTAGCCCAGTATTTGTCTTAAAGGTCAGCTAGTAGCCAGTGGTTGGGTGGATGAGCCCTAGGCTTCAGATCTGGATTCTGGTTCTATTATTTATTCTGCTGACCTTGGGCAAATAAAGAGCCGTGGTTTCCCTTCCTGTAAAATGAGGATAATAGCTGCTTTGAAGACTTAAGTGAGGATTGCAAAATGCTTAGTCCACTGTGACAATTTGATCTGCCAATTTGATGGGATTGTGAGATACACATAGCTGCTCTTCTGCGTGTCTAGAGCTCAGCAAAAGTTTTGTGAACAAGCATTCTTTGGAAATAAAGGGTTTTCTGAGTCATGTGTGTTAGCCAGAAAAGGTCCAGGTCCCAGGACATGTTCTGTGGTTACCAGCAGCAAGACAGCCAAGAGCACCTTTACAATGAAAATGTGAGAAAGGAAAGCAAGTCGTTTACATAGAACTTGCATTGGCTATGGATAATAGGGGTAGGACGCAAGGTCATGACATGGGAACATTTGGGCACAGAGGGCAATCTGTAATAGTGCTTGCTGCTTCTGGAGTCCAGGTTGGGGTTAGTCCAGAAAGCGATGGGTAAACAGGAGCTGGAGGCCTTTCTGGCTTTTTTGAAGGTTTCCTTTCTAACAGTATTTGTTCACTCTGTAGAAAAACACTTCAAATTTACCCAGCATCTTTGGAACTGGGGAAATGATTGCATTTTCTTAAAGAGATAGGAAACTAACTCCTAGTAATAAGGGCATTTACTGGTTTGAAAGAAATTCAAAGCTCTCCTTGACCTTTATTCTTGAGCCAAACCTGTTCTTTCATGGAGACACCCTGAATTCCCTCCTGACTCTTGAACATTTCTCCTTACTGTCATTTGGGTAGTAGTCAGGGGTCAGTCCAGATTCCCAGTGCTTACCAGACAGACCATGGGTTGTTCCTCTGGCCTCTGCTAGTGTCATTCAGCATTCATATTTCAATTGAGATGTCACCTCCCCAAAACAGTCTCCCTGGTACCTGGAGAAGACACTGATAGCCGTCAGAACACTAGTTACCATTTCATCACTTCACAGCACTTGTTAGTACCTGAAATTATCACTCAACTTCAAGTAAACCCAGTAGATCTGACTCATGAATCTTCCCAACCCAGGGCATTTGGCTGCACTGCTAGACAACCAACTAGAAAGACAAGTGACAGGCTGGCTTTGTTTTTTAAAAGAATTACTAAAATGCCCTCTGTAGAACTGTGGACCTGTATGTCAGAGCCTGGGACATAAGCAGGTTGAAGAGCACTGCAACCATATAGGATTGCCTGTTTGGCACAGCATCATGTTTTGGCTTTTTAATTCCCACTCTTGTTGCTTTCATTGTGAACCCAGAAGAATTCATTCTTCAGCAGAAAATGCTAGATTTTATTTGCCACTAAATTTCATACCAGATTCCCGGAGCTTCCATTGGAAGGTGCATTAGAGCCTAAGCCAAAAAGAGATATATATTAGATGTATTAGAAGAAATTGTCTTGTATAACTGTAGGGCTGGCAAGGCAAGTTGAAATCCACTATACAACCCAACAAGAAGGGCAGACCAATGGGACATGCTGGCTGGGGCTCTGTTCAAGCCAAAGCTGGCCTAGAGGTAGAATCTTCCTGCTTTAGGGATCCCCCATGCTGCTCTTGGTAATGCCTTTGGCACGATTGAGTCAGGTTCCCCAACGTTATCTGGAGTGATCTTTGTTGCTAAAAGTCCATCAGAAAAAAGTAAAAAAAATATTAAGCCTGGTAGTGGTGCATACCTTTAATCACAGCACTCTGGAGGCAGAGGCAGACAGATCTCTGAGTTTGAGGCCACCCTGGACTACAGAGTGAGTTCCAGAACAGTTACGACTACACAGAGAAACTATCTCTAAAAACAAAAACAACAAAAAATGTCCATCAGTACCATCAGTAGTGGACTTGGTCAATCTCTAAGTATGTGGGTCACCATTTGTAAATAAGTGGAAACTAGCTGTTGATTGGTTTTCCATAGCTGTGGCTTGAAGATGAAATATAACAACTTAGAGGAAGTGGTCATTCATTTTGGCTCATGGTTTCAAAGGTTAGACCATTAGGGGTATGGCTTGATACTGTAGAGCGGGAAGTATGGGAATTTTCCTTTGCTTCTTACTCCTCTTACTCAGTATGGTGCCACCTGCATCCAGAGGCAGGTCTCCTTCCTTTAATCCTCTCTGGAAACACCCTCACAGATACCTCTTGAGCTCTTTTCAATGAAATCAAGATTTAATTTGTTGAGGCATAGTAGTACATGCCTGTTACCCTAGCACTCTTGAGGCTTAAATTCAAGGCCAACCTGGGCCATAGTTCCAGACAGCCTGGCTATACTACAGTGTGGCATCTTATCTCCAAAAAACAAATCAAGACACAGAGTAGAGCAAAAGTAAGAATTACTATCATAAGCTTGGAAAACTGAAATAACACAAAGACATGACCAGATCCAGGCTGGAATGAAATTTTTTATGCTGCTCTTCATGTACAGTTTTGATTTTTGTATTTATACTTAGAAGTGAAATTACAGATAGAAAAGGTGTGAATTATGTAAAATGGTACATCATTATGTACATGTTGACAGATTGTTTCCGGGTTGGTATATTACCTCAGGAAACTTGGTAACATTTAATAAATATGGCTTGAGAGGTGGAAAAGTCAATATAACTGAAGGGCTTATTAACTACTTAGTTTATTTATTTATTTTGTAAAGGAAGTCATTTATTTGCCTCCTTACTCATTTACCTCCTCAAAATTAAGGTACTCATTTCTCTGTTTGCTACTGGTGTGACACAGAATTCATTATCTCTGGTTAGCCACAGTCTGGCTTAGTCATGTGATTTCACTAATGGCTCTCCCTTGTCTTTCCGGGCAGTATCAACTACTAACATGTTCTCCTTTGGGCTTATCAATGACAGGGGTCTTGAGAAAGACCACGCCTATTTAGCTCCACAGGGTGATTGATGATTGCCTCATTCTTGTCCTCGGTCTCCTTTCAACATTGCCTAGGAACAGTCTTTGAGATCTAATTAAGATTGTTTCCTTCCTTGCTCTGTCCCGGTGTCTTTCCTTAGGGCTGCCAGGCACAATGAAAGTTCTCTTATTGAAAGATGCCAAGGATGATGACAGTGGCCAGGACCCATATATCCAGGTAAGTGGCTGAGCCATATTCCTTGGCCTCTGAACTAGAACTTCCTTGCTAATGGAGGAGGGGTAGAGATGCTAAAACTCAGTGAACTTGGTACATAGCTAATGTGTTATGCTCCCTTGTTTTCAGATAGCAGTTAATGTGATTTCATGACCCTTCCTTATTTTCAAGACAGCCCTGGCCAACCAAGAATAACATTCGTTCATTTGCAGGAGCTGGGATTGTATGGACTGGAAGCTACACTAATTCCTGTTCTGTCATTTGAGTTTTTGTCTCTTCCCAGTTTGTCAGAAAAGGTAAGAGCCCCATGCTAGGGCTTGCCCTCTGTAGAATCCTTGCCAGCCCAAGCCACAAGAGTGTTAGCCTCATTTTACCACTAGACATGAACACAAGGGCAGTACCACTCACCTGGGCGCCAGAGACTCCCCTTAGGCTTCTCCACCTAAGCCTCAATCTGCTTCATCAGGAAACTGTGGGCCTGGAGATAGAGCATGGCTCTCAAGAGTTAGGGCCTTTTTAGTCCATCCAGAATGGCTCCAGGCCCACAGTGGGCACTAGACAAGTGTCAGGTGGTTGGAGGGGTGGCAGGGTAGAAGGGCTGATTGCCCACTTCTTTGCGGACACACTTGGACCCAGGCTCCTAGCTCTTCAAGAGGCTGAGACTAAGCCAGCATCTATTGGTTTTGGTGCAGCTGTCTCATCCCGAAGGCTTTGGAGGACTCATTTTCACCAGTCCCAGGGCAGTGGAAGCAGTGAAGCTGAGTTTGGAGCAGGACAATAAAACTGAAGGTGAGGGCAGGTGGGCTCTGGATTCCACTGGACTCTTACTTGCTTTCATTTCTGTTTTGAGACACTGCAGTCCAGGGATAGCTACATGCCCAACAGAATCGAGTGCCTGGGCATGGCTGCTTACAGGTGACCCCTGAGTCCCCACACAGATATGACTGAGAGGGTGCTCTCACTTGCCACTTATTTATTCATTTTATTTTATCATTTTTATTATTATTTACTTCTTTGTTGGGTACATGCCATGGTATGTGTGTGGAGATCAGAGGACAGTCCACAGGAGTACATTCTCTCCTTCCACCCCAGGGGTCAGATCATCAGGCTTGGTGACTAGCATGTTTACCTGCTGAACTAGCTCACCAGCCGTCAATTGACTTTCAGATGTTCACTTGTGTGTTGTGCCAATTTCTTCCTCTGAAAGTAGGCTAAGTGATACTTTACTCAAGTGGGGAAATGCTTCATAGCCCTGCCACACCCTTTTCAACATGGCTGTTCTCCATTTCAGCAGTATATAGTGACCCAACCCATTTCCTGACCCCCAAGCTCCAGACTGAATGCTGAATATAGTCTGGAGGCATGTGCAGTACTGTGACCACTTACATTCAAAACACAGGCTTAGGGAGTTCTTTCAGTGAAGGGTAGCAATTGGGATATGGTTAGCATTGGAGCTTTGGAGTCCTGTAGGCCTGGATTCGTGCAGCCATTCTGGCTGCTGTGAGCTCCTTGACCTTTCTTCCCCTTGGTGACCTGGCCTTGTATTAAGCTCCATAACATGTCATATGTCTGCTCTGTGCCAGGTGTCTTGAGCCACAGGTTTTTGATGCTCACTGCATAGGCTGAGTCCCATAGAGGAGCATCCAGGGTGTTGCTAGGGGCAGAGTGGTCAGTGAGGGAATGGGCATGGTGGTGCTGTCACTGTTGTCTCCTTGCCCAGGTAGCCAGCTTGCTTTAGAGACTGAGTGCTCAGTCTCTTGCTAAAGTGAAGGCTGGGGCCTTAGAATGAAGAAGTGAGCCACCTTAACATCCAGATGGTCACTTTGTGTGCAATATTTCATGTTTTGCAGAATGGGAAAAGTCTCTGAAAAACAAATGGAATGCCAAGTCTGTGTATGTGGTTGGAAATGCCACTGCTTGTCTAGGTAAGGAGTCAAGGGAAGACGAAGGAAGGTTTGAATCCTAGGCAGGATGGATAAGAGTTCATACTCAGACCATATACAGACTAGAACCTATGAACTTCTTATTCCTGGAATTTTCCATTTCTTTTCAGGCCTTAGCTGGCCAAGAGTAGCTGAAATGAAGGGAAATGAAATGCCAAAGCAGGGACAAGGGGGTCACACACACCTACTGTATTAAGGGCCAGCCTTACAGTAAGTCCTCCTGCCTCAATTCAGTTCCTGGGGACTTCAGGCTTCTTGGCTCACTTGTCCCTGGTAGCCTGGGTCAGCAGTGCAGTGCAGAGACAGCTTTGGTGCTGAACAGTTTACACCTGTATGAGGCTTTTTCCTCAGGCTCAGTACATTTCTAATGATCCATGAAGAAAAGCTGATGGTGCCCATTGAAGCTGTTGTTGGTGACAACATAGGTAGCAGCTGTTTGGCTCCTAAATGCAGTACTTACATACATCTTTCCTCTGGAAGTAGTGTGTTCCTCTGTGCAGGTAGCCGTGCTGAGCGGGCCCTGCCTTCATCCACATTCTCTGTGGAGTAGCCACATGTTCACTGTCTGGAGAATGCAAGGAGCCTTCCCCTGTCTGCTTCCTGTTCCTGTTTTCTTCAAGAAGAGCTTGGTCAGGTGTGGTGGCACACACCTTTAGTTCCACCCAGCACCTGGCAGGCAGAGGCAGGAGGATCTCTGTGAGTGGGAGGCTAGCCTAGTCTATATAGAGAGCTCCAGGATTACATTGAGAGGACGACTGGGACAGTGCCCTCCCTAACTACCAGTGTACATAGTGCTATGGGGTCCTTGTCGGTTGTTGTGAAACCTTTTCTCTGCCCCCTCCATTGTAGTCTGGCCATGTAAGCCCATTGCCCCTTTCTGGATGGGAGCTGATAACCTTTCCCTAATGAAATAAGGGCTCTCTAAAGAGATGTTTGCAAAACTTAGTGGCTCCCAAATGCTCTCCGTCTCCTGACTGATAAACAGATGCCAGCAGTTGGCTTCATTATCACATAAGCCTAAAAATGTCCTACAAGGCCCATGTTTGTGGTTCATGTAGATAAGTGGGTTTCAGAGAAGCTAGTTAAGACTAAGTCGCCTGTCTAGGGAAGGTATGCCCAGGGCACCCTCATCTGGGAAAGAATAGCTGTGGTCTTTCTACTTGGCTTCCAAAGTACACGTCTCTGTGGGTGCACAAACAGTGCTTGTTCATTTTCGATTTAAAAGTGGGTGGGTTTTTTTTTTTTATTTTTGTTTTTGGAGACAAGCTGTCCTGGAACTCACTGTGTATGTAGACCAGGCTAGCCTTGAACTCAGAGATCCATTTTCCCCTGCTCTGTAGTATTGGGATTAAAGGTGTGTGCCATTGTGCCCTGGCAATTTAAAAGTAATGCAAGAACAAAAAGGTTTTAGTAACTGTCAAAGGAATTCACCTCTTTGTTATTTTCCAGTGAATAAAATCGGCCTGGATGCAGAAGGAGCACACAGTGGAAATGCAGAAAAGCTTGCTGAATATATTTGCTCCAGTAAGTGAAGACCCACCCTCCCCCACAAAACATGCTTCCAACAAAGAACTAACTCTCCATAAGGTTGTCCTTGGTCAGCGAATGGACCAACCCCAGGGCCTTTTGGATTTAGGTGATTTGTCTTAAGCTAATTATAGGGTTTTACGAATCTGAAGAATATAGAGGAAAGTTTTAGAATGGAGAATTTGGAGTGAGGACAGGAAAATTGAGAATGCCCTCCTCGATGCTATGTCTCTCCTCTTCCATGTCTGTCTAATCCAGCTGTAGACACAGGGACTTGCAGCTGTGTCACTCAGCCACAAGGACTGAAGGAGAATCCTTTTGCTCAGTGAGCGGAGGAAATCTGAACCTGCTGTCGAGGTCAGCCAGGTGTTTACAGTTTTGCTGGCAGGTCTCTTTAAGAGCTACCAGACTCTGTAGTTGGAGCAGGAGAACATCTGGGGGAAATGTAAAACCTGGGTCTTGGTTCTGACTGTGTAAATGTACTGACCCCTCTGAGGAATTGCTTTGGGGTCTGCTGGGCTGGGAGAAGGACAGGATGGAGTGCTGACACAGCTTTGGCTTTCCTCGAAGGTTGTAGGAGCTGGGCATCTTCTTTTCCCCTTAGCATATTATCAAGGTGAAGAGAGAAGGACCTTCAGTCTTTTTATGGCTTCTCAAACAATGATGGATGAGACAAACTATGTTATAACCATGGCTTCTCGAAGTGGTATTGGCTTTTGTGATCTGCAAACTTGTATGCTAAAATCTTCTGTGGTTCTCATGCCATAAACTACTCCCATTGCCAAAAGGTTCTTTGTGGCCGGGCATTGGTGGCACACGCCTTTAATCCCAGCACTTGGGAGGCAGAGGCAGGTGGATCTCTGTGAGTTCGAGGCCAGCCTGGTCTCCAGAGCGAGTGGCAGGATAGGCTCCAAAGCTACACAGAGAAACCGGAAGCTGCTCCTAACAAGCCCTGAATCATGAATTTTGGACTGTCAACTTGATGTAGCCTAGAGTGACCTGAGGAATCTCAATTGAGGAATTACCCAGATCAGACTGAACTGTGGACATGTCTTTGAGTATTGTCTTGGTTGATAATTGATGTAGGAGAGCCCAGCACACTATGGGCTGCACCATTCCCTGGGCGGGTGGTGCTGAGTTCCACAAGAAAGCTAGCTAAGCCTGTGAGCAGACAAGGAGCTTTCCTCTACAGTCAGTTTCTTGCTTCAAGTTCCTGCTCTTCCTTCCCTCAGTGATGGACTATAACCTGTCAGCTGAAATAAACCCCTTCTTCCCTAAGGGGCTTTGGTCAAAGTGTTTATCACAGCCATGGAAATTAATCTAATGCATCTTTCTTTTTTAAGATTTTATTTATTTATTAGTGTACAACATTCTGCTTCCATGTATATCTGCACACCAGAAGAGGACACCAGATCTCATAACGGATGGTTGTGAGCCATCATGTGGTTGCTGTGACTTAAACTCAGGACCTCTGGAAGAGCAGTCAGTGCTCTTAACCTCTGAGCCATCTCTCCAGCCCGCATCTTTCTATTTAAATTGTTTAACTGATAACAAAATTATACATATTAGTGGCATTATCAGTTTCTTTAAAAAAAAAAAAACGATTTGAAAGCTGGGTTATAGGTGAATGTCAGAGTACTTCTCTAGTATGTATGAGGTCCTGGGTTCATTCCCCAGCACAAAAAATTAAATTGGTATTTTACTACCTTTCTGCAAATTAAATGCTTGGCATTAACACTGAGAACTAGCATTAATGAGTGCTCAGTGTTCTCCAGGAATCAGTCTTCACAGCCAGCTAGGGCAAGAGCCATGTCTGGTGACAAATTTCCATCCAGGATGGTAGCCAAAGTAATCAAGACTAAATACAATTTTACTTTCAGTTCTGAATCAGTCTTCACAGCCAGCTAGGGCAAGAGCCATGTCTGGTGACAAATGTTCCATCCAGGATGGTAGCCAAAGTAATCCAGACTAAATACAATTTTACTTTCAGTTCCTTAGACACATGGGGCACACTTGATAGTTTAAGCATCACTAATGGCCAGTGACCCTGCATTGGACAATGAAGCATTCCTTTCATCACTGAAGTTCTTTTTTCAGTGTGCTGTTATTGAAGCACTGGGAGACCAAGGCTTCAGGCTCTGAGGTAACAGGGCTAGAATTCAGACTAGACCTGCAAAATCATTGATGTGTGTGGCCCATCAACTTCAGCAAACCTAACTGAACTGCTTTGTGTCCACTTGCCTTTAAGGAGCTGCTGGCCAGGCACCACCTAGATTCAGAGTGAGGGAACTCCACTGAGGTGAGAGTTCTAAGGTGCCTGACTCTGGTGTGGTGGAGCTTTGGGAGGGCCTCCAGCTTGCAAATACCTGACAGGTCTTCTTTAAAGAGGGATCTGTAGCCACCATGGTGGTTTGTCAAGTCTGCATTCTCCTGAACCCCATGTTCATTGGCATGCGGAGGCCTGTTGGGCACCTGATGCTTGGACTGAACCTCTTTCCTACGTCTATACTCTCTGCCACTTCATAAAAGACCAAGTCAGTTCAGTCTGTCTTAGCAGACCTTTAGTCAGACACCCAGGACTGTTAGAGTATAGGGCTAGGACCCTCCAGCCTTCCTGTCTCCCGGGAACTCCCAGCTAGACTTGGGAAGGCAGGTGACTTAAGCAGTGAAAAGAGCAGCAAACAATTGGTGTGGTAAGGGCACTGATACTTCACCAAACAGGTTTTTCTTCACACCAATAGTCAAGTGTCCAACTCCTTAGACACCAGTTGCGTGTTCATAATGTAATTCAATTGTGAATCAACCCAGGGTAAGTGTAGACCCACAGGAAAAGGCTCAATTTCACAAGACTGCCCAACTTTAGATGTAAATATTGGTGTCCAAGGGACTCACACTCTGTCCAACTGGGTTACAGATCTGGTTCCCACAGCCTCTTCCTGAGGATCAGTAACTCGGAAGAGTGGCTTCTAGAACTCAGGGCAACACTATGCCCATGTTCACTGGTCTATTATAAAGGACATGATAAACATACAGGCATCCAGCCAGATGTAGAGGCATAGCAGGATCTGAAGCATAGCTATACATAGCACCAAAGCCTGTCTTTTAAAAATGTAGTCCTAAATGTAAAGGATAGATTATGGTGTCCTCTTGGAATCAAATGCCAGCATTTATGAGGGATAATTGCCCATTCCATAATGGTACTTTGCTTCCACCTGTCTCCAGAGCAAGTCTTGGGTGCTACTCAAGTTCCATGCATCTGTTCTAGAAGGAGACAGAAATGCCCAAGTCATCATTGCTCATTATTAGGCCTAGGGCCACCAGGTTGGTTTCCTTGCTTTGTAAGCACAAGGCAGAGAGGGTCAGTGCCAATGTGAGCTCCCACACTGTGCTTCAGCTAACTGGCCCAGGCTTGGCAGGGTGGATAGTAACATGCTGTGCCCTGTCTCTGGGGATTGGTTCTCTTCTACCTGTGAGTCCTAGGGTTCAAACTCAGATCATCAGGCTTGGATACAAATACCCTTACCCAGCCCTGATGCCAGCCCTGGGATGCAGTCTTTGCAAAGCCATTGTGACTTCTAGCTCATTACCAGCATGTCTGTAGGCTTAATAAATCTTCCATTTGTAATTAGAATATGCAGATAAATCCTAGTTAACTGCTGCTGAGGACTTTTACCTGGGTTTGTATCAAGACATTAATGAGTTTCCCTTTATGTAAACTTTGCAGCCCAATTTTTCTTTTGTTTTGTTTTTCAAGACAGGGTTTCTCTTTGTAGCCCATACTTTCATGGAACTTGCTCTGTAGACCAGGCTGACCTCGAACTCAGAGATCCACCTTTCTCTGCCCCACAGGTGCTGGGATTAAATTCGTGTGCCACCATCACCTGGCACAGCCCAATTTTAAAAGTTACAAATGTACTTCCAGTGTGTGTGGTAACAAAGTCAACTGCTGATTGTTGCTCATTATTCGTTGTTGTTGTTGTTGGGTTTTTTTTGGTTTTTTTGTTGTTGTTGTTGTTGTTTTTTTTTTTGAGACAGGATTTCTCTGTGGCTTTGGAGGGTGTCCTGGAACTAGCTCTTGTAGACCAGGCTGGTCTCGGAACTCACAGAAATCCAGTTGCCTCTGCCTCCTGAGAGCTGGGATTGAAGACGTGCGCCACCACTGCCCAGCATTGCTCATTATTTTATTTAAATATTGTTTACTATAAGACAGGAATTATTGTGGACACTTAAAGCTGTTAATCCATTTAACTTGATCACTCCTTATAAACAATTGTCCTCCTCTCTCCAATCTCTCTTTGAATGAGAGAGTAATTACAAGGTAAGTAGTATAGAATCGAAGATAGTCACATTTAAAGAGACAGAGAAGCCAAAACAGACTGTAATGCCTTTCTTTGAAATGACCTCCTGGATGTACTGAGTCTCTGCTCCCATGCTCCAGTTAGCTTCAATGCCCTGATGATCTGCGTTGAGGCCTGAGTGCATACCTCAGCTCTTACCTACATCAGGGGCTGCTCCTGTTGTGCATATCTCACTGTCTTATAGAGTCTGTTCCTCGGGTCCCTCCTCAGCAGCACTGTATTAATTGAACTTTAGCATTGTCACTTGTCATCTCTGGCAGCCCACAGCAATGGAGAGCAGAGCCCTTGGGCTCCACAAATCACTGTGTGTGGGGGGTGGTGGTGGTGGTGGTGGTGGTGGTGCTGTTGGCTCCATCCATTGCTTTGGTCTAAGTAGGTTGTATTGCGTGCGCTCATAGATGATCCATAGGCTATAATGCTAAGATTTCTTTATTCAGATAAACACCAGCCCAAACGCAAGCCAGATCGTGCCCAGAGGCCGCAAGCTAGTGTGGCCAGAGAAAAAGGGGGTTCCACATGTCTGCAGCCTCTTAAGAATTGTCACCCTCCCCTGACCACGCCCCCATGGGCGTGGCCAGGCACACCTGTAGGGGCTATTAGGAGGTGGGGCTACAGTGTCTCCTTACAAGGTTGAAATCAGCAAGCTTTGCTATTTCACTGAACTGATCAGGTTAAAAATAAATCCACAGAAATTAAGCTTTTTTAAAAAGGGGGTAAGAGGGTGGTTGTGGTAGTATAGTTCTATTTTGTTCAGTTTTGAAGCCAGATCTCAGAATTCTGCAACCAAGGCTCCCAGTATAGACCAGGCTTGTTTCAAACTTGTAGTGTTCCTCCTGCCTCAGTCTTCTGCATGCCAGGATCATAGGCATGTGCCACCACACCCAGCTGGTTTTTTTTTTTTCCTTTGGGCAGAGAGCTCTCAGAAAACACAGTTCATTGGACTCTCAACACCAGAGTTCGGTGTGAACATACTCAACCTTTCCTTCTTTTATGCCCATAGGGTATTCTCTTACTGAGCAGGCAGCAGAGCTAGCTGACTATTCATATGTGAGCCCCACATGCCTAGGTGGCAGATCTTGGCCAGACAAGCCTGTGTCCTCAGAAAGCCCTGTACCACTGTAGCCCAGCCTTTGGGGTAAAAGTCCTATGCTTCCCACTGATCTAGAAATAGCAGTATGACAAGATAAAGGGGAGAGGAGATTCTTGAATCATCTAGAAGCTCTTTTCATGCCTTTGGGGCAGGGCTTACTGGAAAGTTGAACTGTTTGCTTTCCCATAAGGTCCCTAAAAAGAGCTTTAGCCCCTTCCTGCACCTCCAGGCCACAACACTCAGATAAAAAGACACAGAGAGTCACCTAGGCTAGGGTGGAGAGTACAGCACCTGAACATGTTTTTAAAACGGTGTGCCTAGGAGGTACCTGCAGCACTTCACTGGAAAGAGAACTCAGCAGGCAGCTGTGATCTATAGTTAACCATTTCCCAAGCCATGTGCTCTTCTATGTTGGTACCAATATTTACAGAGCAGTTTAAATAAAACATCCACCAGCACATCACTGTTACTTGTACTTCAAACACAGTGGCCTACAGCTAAGCCTGCCACTTAGCTACTGCTTCTCAGAGCCAGTGCTAGCTGAGGAGAGGTTGTTTCATTCTTCCTCTGATCTCAGTCACCAGTGGTGTATTCAGAAGGACCATCGTGCCATGGGAAATATGTGATGTTTGTGCACAAGTAACACCCATTACATTTCTTGGTCTGATACAGAAGAAATGGTTGGTGAGGAAAGTTCTTGCATCTGACAGTCCCTCAGTTTTGTTGGGTGGTTTTGTTGCAACTTGCTGTTCTGTCAGTTGCAAAGTGCTCAGGGCTGAACATTGCCTCAGGCCTTCACAGGTGAAGGTGGGTGATAGGGCACCTGAGGTTCAGGGCCATTGGAGCAGCCTCTTGCCTTTTATGCCCTTTAGGCACTTGCCTAAGGCCAGTTCACATGGCTGGGCAAATAGCAGGCAGGGAATTTGTCTTTGTTGAAGGTGGCTACAGAGCCACCAAAGTGCCAGTTCCTTACTGTCTCCTGCACATGTGCCTGGCTCACCCAGAGCCCCCTCCAGAGCTAGGAAATATGCCCACCAGCCAAGGCCTTACTTATATTCTTACATAGTTAAGTACAAGGCCTGCATTCCAGATAGGGACCATGAACCAGGGAGCCACCTCCCGACAGAGAGTTCAGGCAGCAAGTAGGACAGCAGTGCCTTGTTTCTGTGGCTGGGTTTTCTAGGCTCTTGGCTCACCTTCCCTCTTGGTTCTTCATGGAACCTGTCAAGGCCAGCACAATGCAGCAGTTGCCCTTCCTGGTGACAGGTGCTGGAACTAAGATCTTAGAGCAGAGCTGAGCCTGGAGTCCCCAGCTTCCCCCTCCTGGGAGTTGTTCTCTGAGTGCCTCTGTGCAGTGTCAACTTTAGTGATTTTAGAGAGGGTTTTTTTTTGTTTGTTTGTTTGTTTTTTAACCAAGCTCCTGCAATGTGTGCTTGTTTGTTCACAGGGCCATCTTCAGCACTGCCTCTTCTCTTTCCCTGTGGAACTATCAAAGGAGATACTCTTCCAAAAATGCTCAAGGACAAAGGTGACTAGAAAGAGCTAAGACATCCCCAAAGATGAATGTCCTGAGGCCCATGAGGCACACATGACCCTGTGCAGACAGAGCTGGAATGCATTTGGGTCTCCTGATGCTAAGCCTCACTTCCTGGTGGCATGACTGTGGGATTCATGGAGCAGCCAGGATCAGAGCTGTGGGGACAAACTCACACAAACATGAGAACCAAAGGCACCTGTGGGTACCAATGAAGGCTGTGGTTTCTCCGCCTTTCCCTGCTAACTCAGCCTTCCCAACTTCAGATTGATTCCACAGTGCTCTGCAGGTCATAGGGGGCTGTGCAGGGTCTTTTTGCATTTCTGAGAAGGTGGTTCTCAGAGGTGTGTTGACGTCCCCATCAGCTCCACATTAGGGTGCAGAGGCCCCATTCACAGTATGGTGAAGCCTGTCTCCTGGTTTTGATTGTGCACAGGGATCCCCATGGAAAGCATGCATGTCTATCAGACGGTTCCACACCCTGGAATCCAAGGGAACCTGGAGAGCTTCTATGAGAATCAGGTATGTATGTAGGGTTTCTCAGGAGAGCAAGGCCTGGCAAGGCAGGCCCCAGGGAAGGAGCATGGGTTGGGGACATGAGATTGTGGATGTTGATTCTCACTGGGGTTCTGTGATTCTCAGCCACGTGACTGAGCAAGTGGCTCTTCTGCAACTCCATTGTGTGTCTGTGATATAGAAAAAGACACACAATGTCCAGTGACAGTTTTATAAGGATTAAAGAAGATAATTCATACAAAGCTGTTTGTGTAACATCTACCATATTCAAAGGCCTGAAATACACAGTGGCCCTGTTATTGCCTTTGCTCTCCATTCTGTGGGGCAGAGGCTGAGCCCACACTGGGAAGAGCCCACTGTGGAGTATAGGTTGGGATTAGGAGACCTGGGGCAGGAGAGTGGAGAGTGCTTCTAAAGTTAATGACTATCTCCATCATTTCCATTCAGAAGTCACATCCCTTTGTCCTCCTAGAACAGCTGCTGCATACCACAGCTGTTCTGAGGGTTCTGTTGGACAATCCAAGTGTAGAGAAACCATGCAGGCTGGCTGGTCATTGTCTGCTCTGTCCCTAGTGAGTAGAAGTTGATAGAAGCCAACAAGAAGAATGTTAATTCCATGAGGGCTGTTTAACCCCAGGGGCTGAGACTGGGCTCCACAGAGTCGGCACCTTCTGACCAAACAGACTGAGGACCAGCAGAGCCCTGTGTTAGTGGGAATTGCCAGCCTCTCCAACCTCAGCCTGCTTTTTTCTAAACGGGTCCTTCCAACTATGCCTTGGTGGGCTGCGAATGACACAAAGCCAGGGATCAAACTGATGCAGGTCCTGGGGCTTCTGGGGCTGGAAGGGTTTATGTTGATGAGCTGAGGAATGTTGTCAGGGGCAAAGGCTAGATCTCATCCTTTCCTTTCCCATAGGGTATCCCAGCCAGCATCACATTTTTCAGTCCCTCGGGTCTTAAATATAGCCTGGAGTATATTCAGGTGTTATCTGGTGACAGCTTTGATCAAATTAAGGTATGGTATTCTATCGACTTGCCTTCTTGACTATAACCTGAAATTTGTATGTTGAGTCAGACGTCTGTGAGGTGACTGGAGAGCTGGAAGGGCCTGTTACTTTTTTGTTAGTTCTCTGCATACGTTGCTGATCACCTCTTGGCTGGTGTTATTCTAACTTGGGGATATTAGCCCCAAGTTTTTTGTCCTGTATAGCCAACTGTCTGGACTTTTCTGCATGGCATTGTCCTCAGTTAGTTGAGGACTCAAGTGAGGCCCTCCCTGCAGGGTTTGGTGTGGGTGTTGGTACCTTCCCCTCCTTTTTTCCATGTTGAAATGGTTTTCTAGTCTAGAAACATGTCTTTGTTTTTACTTAAAGGGTTTACATTCACACTTTCAGGGACTGTAAATGATACAACTCTGTGGCACCTGCAACAGAAGTGCCCTTGACCAGACTTCACAGGGACTAAGGAAAAGGTACAAAGTATGGCCTAGAACCCAGGGACAGTAGGCCCCATCCCCATACTCCAGAGCTCACTTCAGTCAGGTGACTCCAACACATTGGCTTATCACAGATGTATCTCACAGGTGTGTCCCACCTGGATACCAGACTGTTTCCTCAGTTTCAAGGTGGAATTGTTAGGTGCAGAGCCTCTGTGCCCTGCCCTAGGTCACACAGCTGAAAAGGAAGGATCCATGGTTGGAACTCAGAAAGGTGCATGCCAGAGTGGGGGCTGTGGTGATATATAGCCATGGTCTAGCAGTTGCCAGGCAGTGGTTGTTGAAGTTCTTGCAGCTTATGCTACTCTGGTTATGGGGATCCAGCAGGATGGAGGTGACTGTCCTTCTTTCAAGGGAAACTGAGCATAGAGGTTCAACACCTTGCTAGCATCATATAGTGCATTACTAGAAGGCCAGCTTTTATGAGGATTGCTATGGGAGGAAGCTGGCACCTGAGTTCTGCAGCCGGATTAAAGAGGAAGGTCCATGGGTACTCAGCATGGTCACTGGCTGAGTGAGCACTTGGGCATGGGGGAAGGGTTAGCAGCAGTGCCAGTGCTGCTCATGTGTGTCTCTGTGGACCTGGTGGATGAGTCATCAGGTAACTGTGAAGTGCCTGGGCAGCTATGATGGAAACATGTCTAAAACTCACCTGGGCTGACCATACTGGTCCACTCCAATAAGAACCTGTACCACTATAACTTTACTCTGTCTGTATCCTAAGCAACCTCTTGTTGGAACAAAATGGACACTTGGAATTTCAACTCAGGGTTTTGCTGCCAGTACTGTCTAGACTCACGGAGCAACTGGGGCATAGTTAAGGTACCCATCCTAAATCTGTCTCGTTCCTTTCTGTAACCCATGGATTCTTGGCATCCCCCAGTCATCATACTGCCACTGTTCAGTGCACCACACACCAGTAGTTAAAGATGCCGCTGGGGCCTTGGGCTCTGCAGCTGCCAGGAAAGGAAGGGTTTTAGGACTAACATTGATCACAACAACTGTGGGTTATTCCAGAGCCAGAAAGCCAGTATGAATTAGTGGAAGTCTTCCTTCATCACTGGGACTTAGTCCACATGGGTACTGCTGAGGCTGACAGAGGACAGAGTCCTGAGATCCATGTATTGGGTGGTTTGGCATCCTTGTTTCAGCTCTGCCTTCCTCTGTAGGAGTGTTTCTGAGACCCAGTGTTTATACAGTGCTATTTAAAATGCAGGGGTTCACACAAGGTTAAGGGGTAACTTATGACCTGTGCTTGAATACCACAAAGGAGCCATGCCAAAGCAGTGAGAACTTTATGGCACTTGCCATCTAATGAATGGAAGCCATTGCATTTTCTTTTTTCTGTTTTCTCACAGTGAACACATGGCCTGGGATGTGGCCATCTGTGCACCTAGAGGTCACCCATCTGTCAGTGAGCATATACTTGTGCCCAGCACTGATCATGTGGTTCACCCTGACCACTCATGTAATCCAGCAGCAGCCCAGTGGACAGCCTGGTTAGAGATAAGAAGGTGGGGGCAGAGGGAGTGTGTAGTGAGAGATCCACCCAGCCTCACCTGCAGTGCTGACCACGCCCATTTGGGCGTGGCCACAGGTGCATATGTGTGCATATGGTTTTTGCTCCAAGGAGCCACACCCAGGCTGCTCTCTGTGACCGGACTGCAACCAAGACAGCAGCCTGTCTCAGACCCCAGACCAAATACCACATGCTCACATATGCACCTGTGACCATAGATGAGGCTAGGTGGATCTCTCTCTACAGGAGTGGATGCTGGGATTTAAACCCTGGTTTTCCAGCTTATGTGTTCTGTGTTCCTGGGGATCCAGACCCACCTTGGCACCTACTCCCACCCAGAGCCCCTGAAATTGGAGAACTGTCTGCAGCTGGAGCCCCTGAGGAAGATGGTGTCTACCCCAGGCTTTGTCCCCACACACCCAATCCTAAGGCTGTGTGTACTTGTGGCAGGAGATGATAGATTCTGCCTGAAGGTATTATGTAGACTCTGAAGGCAGCTTCAGATTGAGTTGCACTCTTGTTTATATGAAACATCACATAGGAATGACTCCTAACAGAAAGTCTGTCCAGATGACGCCTGCACACAGCCCTTGCTGTGGTGCTGAGGCTGTGTCTCTTGTGTCTTGCCTCCTTGCAGTTCGTAGCCATTGGCCCCAGTACAACTCGTGCTATGGCCGCTAAGGGCCTGCCTGTGAGCTGCACAGCAGAGAGTCCCACACCACAAGCCCTGGCTGCAGGCATCAGGAAAGTGCTGCAGCCAAACACCTGCTGCTGAGGCTGTGCTGGGCCAGCTCCTTCCCTGTGCCTAGGACAGCTTGCTGCTGCCTCTAGGATGGAGCCCAGAATCAGAGAGGGGCTCTGGAGAAGCATGTCACTGTCCTCCGTGGAGTCCAGCTTGGAACCTAGGCCAGGTGCACACTGACCATTGGACCCTGGGAGAGCTTCCTGTGGCTAGAAAGAAGGAAATGAAATCAACCACATGGTGACTTGTGCTTGCTGCCCTCTTTCTTTTTAAATTGTATTTATGTGTATGGACATCTTGTCTGCATGTATGTGTGTCATATGCATGTGTGGTGCCTTCAGAGGCAAAGAGAGGGTGTCAGATCCCCTAGAACTTGAGTTAGAGACAGCTGTGAGCTACCATGTGGGTACTGGGATTTGAACCAAGATCCTCTTAAAGAACAAATGCTCTCAGTCACTGAGCCATCACTCCAGCCCACTATCATGTGTGGGTTTTTTTTTTTTTTTTTTTTTTTTTTTTTTTTTTTTTTTTTTTTTTTTTTTTTTTTTTTGGTTTTTCGAGACAGGGTTTCTCTGTGTAACTTTGGAGCCTATCCTGGCACTCATTCTGGAGACCAAGCTGGCCTCAAACTCACAGAGATCCACCTGCCTCTGCCTCCCGAGTGCTGGAATTAAAGGCGTGTGCCGCCAATGCACGGCTCATGTGTGGTTCTTGATGCAAAGCTGTGTTCAGGAGCAACTTAGAGACTCTCTCTGATGCTGACCTGGTAAGAATGATAAATTGCTATGTGTGAAGTAGATTTATTCATTACACAAAAAACAAAACAAGACTGAGCCGAGCATGGTGGCATACACATCATCCCAACATTCAGAGAATGGAGAAAAGACAGTGGTAAATGTAAGGCCAGCCAGGACTATATAGTGAGACACTATCTCCAAAACCCAAATAAAAATAAACAAGACCTCAAATTCCAACTTTTGCTGTGGATAATTATGTTTCAAATACGAAGATTTTATCTCATTATTAAACATAACTGCAGCATACCCATCACGTTAATTGCTTTTGGAGATAGAGAAGAAAGAAGAGGGGGAAGAGAAGAGAAGGACAGAGAAAGAGATGTAGTGCCCTGCAGAAACATTCTGAAAAATCTGTCCTCAAACTCTTCTAGGCCAGTGATTCTCAACATGTGGGTCACAACCTCTTTGGGGTTTCAAATGACCCTTCACAGGGTCACACATCAGATACCCTGCATATCAGATATTTACATTATGATTCACAATAGTAGCAAAATTACAGTTAGAAAGTAGCAATGAGAGTAATTTTATGGCTGGGGGTCACCACAACATGAGGAACTATATTAAAGAGTATAGCATTAGGAAGGTTGACAACCACTGTACTAGACAGTCCTGGCCTAGATTTGTGCTGCTGGGGGCTGCTGGTAGGGAAAGTGGCTGTGACTGGCAGAGCTGTCTTCATGGAAGGCCAGGTTGCAAGGCATTTTTTCTGAGTGCACACCCTGCCCAGCCTGGTGCCATTAGTTTACACATGTGATCTGATTCTCAGTCACTGAGCCCTCGAGTCACTGGGGTGTGCCCTGGGAAGGGAATTGGGGAACTGTGGTGTCTGACTTCCACTTCAATATGACCCCTATTCCTAAACATGCTTCTGTCACTCATGCTAGCCTTGAGGTGACACAACTAATGGGGAGAGGTAAAGCTTACAAGGATATGAGTGCCATTTGGACTTTCAGGCTACACTGAGCTAAGGAGTAACTGAGAAGAGCTTCGTCCATGGACAGAGGCGCTACAGCAAAGGTACTGTGGTGAGCTCTGCTTGTTTTGCATGGGATCTTAGAACCTAGCTCAGACTTTCTGACCTGAGAGTCACATCTCACTGTTAACTTTCCAATTCTCCATCCTCAAGGAACCCTTTTCTGTGGAGGATGCCTGTTCTTGCAGGAAAGAGCAGGTACCACAGTCAGTGCTGAGAACACTGGCAGCATCTTCACGTGCAGCCTGAGAGCATTGCATCAGGAGCCTCGGGGCCAGGAGCTAGACTGACTGCCCCCTTCTGGCAAGCTGTGTCAGATTACAGTGTCATCCCACCATGCAAGGAACAGGGAGCTTATGCCACAGCAGACTGGCCCTGTGGAGCTGAGGTGCAGTAGGAGAAGAACCCTGGGCACAGGCTGCCATGCATGTCAGCAGTGCCAGCTGGCCTTGATAGTCCATTTTTAGACCCTTTCCATGCAAGCCTGGTAACCTAAGTTCAGTTCTTGAAACATACAACAGTGACAGAAGTGACCCCACAGAGTCATCCTCTGACCTTCACGTGTACACCCACACAACAGACACATTATGCACATTTGAACACACATACTATTTTTGTACTTTTGGCTAAGGCAAAGCTATGAGTAACAAAACTTTCAAATTATGCACAATTAAAACTTCCATAGAAAAACCTTGTTTGGTGGAATACTGTACCACAGGAGCATGTTTCCTCTCAGTATGTTCAGTGAGCAGATTTCTATTCCATTTTTTTAAATAATTTATTTTTATTTTATGTGCATTGGTGTTTTTGCCTGTATGTATGTCTGAGTGGGGATGTCAAGATTCCCTGGAACTGGAGTTACAGACAGCTGTGAGCTTCTGTGTGGACCGGAATTGAACCCAGGTCCTCTGGAAGAGCAGCCAGTGCTCTTAACCTTTGAGCCTTTTCTCCAGCCTTCTATTCCGTTTCCTTTCATTGTTTTCAAGGCTGGAGGCTGTTGACATGGGTCTCTAAGTCACCTAGTGATCATAGATGCACACAGTTCTGGAGTCACCTGTGAACCCTCTCTGATGGCAGTCACCTTAAAGCAGAATGTAGTGAAAGGACAGATTTACATCCTTTCCAAAGAAACCAGGCTAGAGGATGGCAGGATCTTCAGAAGTGACCATATAAGGGCTCTGGAATAGGATGAACACCTGACATTGAGACACATTTACTGGTGGATGCTGAACTCACCATGGCAGGTGCTGAGTTGATGGATGAGGGAGAGAACCCAGCTGAGGCAGAGTTTAAAAAGAAAGTAGAACAGATGGGGTGAAAAGGGGGGATTCCACTGCTCCCAGGGAAGCTGAAGGAGACAAACACACTGACAGGCAGCTGAGGGGTGTCCTCACCATCTTGGGGGGCATTTCCTGAATGCTATCTCCAAACTGTTAATGCCTCCTTTATGGTCTTCCATCCCTGGTACCAAATGGCCCTGGTCACAGCAAGGCTTCAAGAGGGGCAAGGCAGAGCTTAGCTCCAGATGGGGACCTGTGCATGGCCTTTGACATGAGATTCCAGGCTCAGCTCCAGAGGCTGAAGGGCTGCCTCTTACTCCCTCAGGCCGTGTGTAGTATGTTGTAGGCCTCAGTGGTTATAGTTTATCCTTACATAGACTCACTGACCACAGACTGGGACTTCGTAATAAGTCCCTGTATTCAGAGGCACTCAGGCTTCTGTGGAGTTGTGACACATGGACATACACTTTTCTTTCTTTTTGGGGGGGGGTTCAAGACAGGTTTCTCTGTAGCTCTGGGGGCTGTCTTCCCTCCCTCTCTCTCTCTCTTTCTCTATACAATGTTATGCCTGCATGTATGCCTGCAGACCAGAAGAGGGCACCAGATCTCATTAGGGATGGCTGTGAGCCACCATGTAGTTGCTGGGAATTGAACTCAGGACCTCTGGAAGAACAAGCAGCCAGTGCTCTTAACTGCTGAGCCATCTCTCCAGCCCATCTATTTTTTAAATTATATTATTTACTATTTATTTGGGCAGCGGGCATTGAGTGTGCTCATGGAGGTCAGAGAGAAACTTGCAGGAATTGGTTCTCTCCTACCTTGTGGAGCCAGGGATTGAATTTAGGTTTTCAGGTTTGGCAGCAACTGCCTTTACCTTTTGAGCCATCTTTCCTACCCCTGGACATCCTTTTTTTTATAAAAACAACAACAACAACAACAACAACAACAACAAAACCAGTAAGAAGAAAACTGAAAGCCAGGAGGTGGTTTTTTAACCCTAGTACTTGGGAGACAGAGGCAGGCAGATCTCTGGGAGTTTGAAACCAGCCTGGTCTACAGAGTGAGTTCTGGGACAGCTAGGGCTATTGCACAGAAAAACCCTGTCTAAAAAATGACCAAAAAAAAAATTGAACACAAAGTCTAGAAAGAAATTAACATGCCCTAAGCCTCAGACCACCCAGAAGAAAGACCTGAATAGGAGCAAACTGGGGGTTAGGGTTTTAAAGCTGCAGGTCCAGTCCTAAAAGGCATGTTGCTAGGGCTTAGGCTGGGCCTTCAGAGCGGCACAGGTGAACACACCCAGCACTTCTCCCTCAGTTCATTTAGGAGCAAACTCAACCAGGAAAGTCAACACAGGAGAGCAATCCACAGGTTCTTCACTCAGAAGTACCTACCCAAAGACTGAAGGAAGAGGAGTTCTCACACCCATGAGAAAAGTGGCCCTGGGGTCTTCAAAGGCAGCACACCAGGGCCTCAGAAGCAGCTTCCTAGCAGGCACACTTCAGGGCTGGGTGAAGAATGTCTTGCTTGCTTATAAAAGGGTCCTCGCATGTCCTACCCCTTAGGAGGGGAGACAGGGACGCAGCAAGGTAGGACCAGAGTCCTAGTGGGGCCATGTTTGCTGCCTCTGTCTTGCGTCTGACACTGCTGTTCTTTTGGCTGGTTGCACACCAGCCCGCCCAGCCTGAGAGGCTCTTCCACAGCCGGGACCGTTCGGACCTGGAGCCATCACCTCTGAGCCAGGCTAAGCCTATTGCTGACCTCCGTGCTGCTCAGGTAAGAGGAGACCCACAAAGCAGCATCATCTATGTGTACAAGCAACACACACACACACACACACACAGAAGGGGGGCGGGGCAGAGCATAACATGGAAGGATGGCTGTGCAGAGGCAGAGTGCTTGCTTAACCTGGTGTTGTCTTTGCCAAGCTGGGAATGACACCTGGGGCCTTGCACAAGCCAGGCAAGCCTATCTACCACTGAACTGCACCTGATTCCATCTGACACTAATCCTAGTAGCATCGGTGTCTGGGCAAGATCGGCCCTGTTCAGAGAACAGCTTTAAGTGTCAGAGAGCATTCAAATGTGACCATGTGGTGCTGTCAGAGTCTAAGGCATGATGCTGATGGCATTCTTTGGTCGACATCCTGCAGGTCTGGGCATACAGAGGAGGGACAGCTCCAGCTAAGATTCCCTGCACCATGCTATTGAGTGGCATTCACAGACACAAAATCAGGGCTCCCTTTCTCCAGTCATAGGCTGGAGCAGGAGTGGATCTGAGCAAAAAGCCCCTGCAGACTGGTGGTTATCAGGCACCAGAAGCAGACAGATGATCAAGATTTCCCTCTGAACTCCTGGCTCCTTGTCTCAGATGCCAAGGGACACCCCTGCTACCCCTGCTTTCCCTGCCCTTACATGGACTCTCAGAATGAGTCTTGTCCAGTCCTTGGGAGTTGTGGAGTTCCAACTTCCCGGAGAGGCCTCCCTCTCAGCTCCTCAGCCCAGTATGCAGTATCTCCAGCCTTGACCTCTTACCTTTGGCATGGCCCCTTCCCTCCCAGTCCCACTACCTGGCCTGCTTTAACTCTGCTCCTCCATAGGCCACGTGGCATCTATGACTTCATTCTGGTAGGCTCTCTATATCCCTATGCCTCTCCTCAACCCCTACAGTACAGGAAAAATCCTGGCATGAGGCAACCCTATCAATTTAGGGTTTCTCTTTCCCACAGAGATTCCTACTGAAATATGGCTGGTCAGAGATGCTTAGTCCAAAGGAGTCAGCAGGGGTCCCTGTGGGCTCCACCTTGGCTCAAGCTGTGCGTAGATTCCAGAAGGCAAACAGACTGCCAGCCAGCGGGGAACTAGACTCACCTACACTGGCAGCTATGAACAGGCCACGCTGTGGTATCCCTGACACAAGGCTGCCACCTCAGGCTGCTCTGCCAACCCCACCAGCTCTGCCAACACCTTTAGGTCTTCGGCCCAGGCCCCGACAAAAGCGCTTCCTTCAAATGCTGCTGCCCAAGCCAGGTGGGCAACATGACACCTCAGACACTGGGCCCAGCAGGGCCTTCTCCAAGAAGACACTGAGCTGGAGGCTGGTGGGGGATGCCTACAGCAGCCAACTCTCTGTGGAAGAGCAGAGATATATCTTTAGACTGGCCTTCAGGATGTGGAGTGAGGTGACACCACTGGACTTTCGGGAGGACCTCACTGCCCCTGGAGCCATGGTGGACATAAAGCTGGGTTTTGGGAGAGGTAAGTGGGGTACAGATGTAGTAGTCCTTCCTGCCTACTCTACAGGCAGTCTGATTCTTCCACCAAGGCCCCATGCCCAATATCATGCCTAGGGCAACCTGGGCCAATCACAACTTGATTGCCTTGTCACCCAGAGTGGTGTGGTTCCAACTCCTACCTTCTGGGCTTCTTCAGTGATGACACCTAAAGGGGTAGCATCTACTCTCAGTAGATTCTAAAATCTTAGCTGTTGGGGTTCACTTGCTTGGAGTGCATCCCAGCTCGTCACCCACCCATCCTCCTGGTCACATGGAACAGCAGTGGGTACAGCCTACTTGTGTTCAGACACATAAAGGCAACCACTACTTCCTTGCTAGCAGACTGAACAAATACCCTGACTTCCACAGCCCATCTGTGAACTAGAGGTGTCCCCAACCACCTCGATGCTCTCTCTTTCTGGGTTAATTCCCTAATTCTAGAGTACATGAGTCATGGTTTGTTATAAAAGTGTAGATGTGAGATGGTGACCTTCTTATGGTCTTCCCCATCATAGGGATCCAGCTCCAATACTGTGTCCTGTCTCCTCCATCAGCCCTAACACACCACACACACACACACACACACACACACACACACACACACACACACACACACAGAGCAGTTAGTACTGAGATGTTTCTAGTCTTTGTTGCTGTTTTTGTTTGTTATGGGTTTTTTGTTTATTTTGAGACGGTTTCTCTGTGTAGCCTTGGCTGTCCTGGAGTTTGTACTGCAGACTAGGGTGGCCTCAGAAATCCACCTGCCTCTGCCTCTGCCTCTGCCTCCTAAGTGTTGGGATTCAAGGTGTGCACCACCACACCCGGCTTGTTTCTGGTCTTTATGGCCACACTGTTCAGATACCCAGCAGTTTGGTCTGCTTCCATGGACCTTATGTATATAGCCCACTGCTGCACTAGCTCCTGGAGAGTGTAGTGCTGTTAAAGTCTGTGCTATCAGAAAGGACTTAAGATGGGCACCTTCATTCACTACTACCCACCCTCTCCCCACACCAGGCCGGCACCTGGGCTGTCCCAGGGTGTTTGATGGGAGTGGACAGGAGTTTGCTCACGCTTGGCGTCTGGGTGAGATCCACTTTGATGATGACGAGCACTTCACCCCTCTCTCCAGTGACACGGGCATCAGCCTTCTCAAAGTAAGAGAGGCTCCAATGGCTGTGTTGGGAAGGCAAAGCGCCTAGCACAAGTTCAGAAACCAAGCTTTTCTTTGGTGTGTACATAACCTTCTAGAAAGTTTAGCAAGTCTCTGATGGTGGTTCCCCCATACTCACCCTGTTTCCCTAAGCAAGCACAACTGTGCACAGGGCATAGGCCAGGCTTCTATAATCTAGTGATGGGTCCCTTCATCATCAAAGACTCAGGTTTGGTCCCACTCCTGTGGTTTGTGTTCCCCTCCTAGGTAGCTGTCCATGAAATCGGCCATGTCCTTGGATTGCCTCACACCTACAGGGCAGGATCCATAATGCAACCGAACTACATTCCCCAGGAGCCTGCGTTTGAGTTGGACTGGTCAGACAGGAAAGCAATTCAAAGACTATATGGTAAGATGGGTCTAGGGCTGAGGGTCCAGCTGAGGGTACTGAGGAGGCTAAAGCCAGCAGGCTATACTCAATGTTCACTTGGAGACTGGTCCCCAAACAGCACAGGTTGCATGGCTGAAGAGCTGCCCTCAAGCTCCATCTGCAGGCTCTTAAAATGATTACCCCAGACCACAGACAGCTACATGTAAAGAGAAGTCCCTCTTGTGCCTTCTCTTCCCCACTCCTTCCACACTGGTGAGGACAGAGGACATCGTGGCTTTTAGACACATAGAGCTCCCATGCCTTGGCATCACAGAGCTGAGTGAATGGGGAGCCATTGTAAGCAGCTGTGATTCCAGACAGGAGCTTCACCACAAACTTTCAGTTGTTATGCCCGGCACCTGTGGCTATTTAATACAAATGGTGGGGCAGAGTGGTGGCTCAGCAGTGAAGAGTGTCTTCCAGAGATGTAGGTGCCTTAATCCTCAGCACACAACTATCTGCCATTTCAGCTCCAGGAATCCAACACCTCTGGCCCCCATACACATATAATTAAGAAAGTGATTGGTTACAGCACAGATGCCCAAAACGGGAAGCATTTTCATTCCTAGGCCCTCACAGAGCCCATCTCTGTTTTGCTCTCATGTGTTCCCATTCTTGACACCCAAAGCCTGTTGCAGCCTCATGAACAGCCTCCAGTGGAAACATGGCTGTTTGTGTCTAGAGCCAAATGTCTTTCCTCTCATGAAATCAGATGGACTAAGAGGCATGGGCCAGTCACACTAGGATAACCCAGAACTGCATCCAGACTGAGTCTGGGGATCCTGTGAGCGGCTTTCTAAAATTCTACCTCCTGCTCAGTCTCTACAGTGCTTCTTTAAGGCATTTCAACAGGAAGTGCTAGCCATGTAGCCATCTCCATCCCAATTATGAATGCTGGTGTTTGCAGTGACAAATGGCTGGATTTTTTTTTGTTTTCTCTCTAGGTTCATGTGAGGGATCATTTGATACAGTGTTTGATTGGATTCGAAAGGAGAGGAACCAATATGGTGAAGTGAGGGTGAGGTTCAACACCTATTTCTTCCGCAATAGCTGGTACTGGCTCTATGAAAATCGAAACAACAGGACTCGATACGGGGACCCCCTCCAAATCCTCACTGGATGGCGTGGAATCCCCATGCAACGTATAGATGCCTTCGTCCATGTCTGGTCATGGGGAAGAGATGAGCGATATTTTTTTAAAGGTAACTATGCAAAAAGGTAACAATGCTTCAGGCATGGCTCTATTTCTCTTACTGAACTTGCACTCAAGAGGTTTCCAGCACTTACCAAGGTTTCACTGTAATGTGCTGGTGACCAATGACATTCCTGTTTGATTAGACAGATTGCAGGCTCAGGGTGGGCTGTATCCTCGGATCTTAGGAAGGCCCCTAAGTCACCAAATGAGTAAACTTGGCTGGGTGCCTCTAACATGGCAAAGAATAGTGTCTTAGGGTTTCTATTGCTGTGAAGAGACAGCATGACCATGGCAAGTTTTATAAAAGAAAATATTTAATTGGGTGGCTTATAGTTTCAGAGGTTTAGTCTGTTATCATTGTGATGGGACATGGCAGCATGCAGGCAGACATACTGCTGGAGAAGGAGCTGAGAGTTCTACATCTTGATCCACGGGCAACAAGTGAATTCTACCACACTGAGCATAGCTTGAGCAAAGGAGACCTCAAAGCCCACCCCTACAGTAACACACTTCCTCCAAGTCCACACCCACACCAACAAAGCCACACCACATAATTGTGCCACTTCCGTGGGAGCCATTTTCTTTCAAACCACTATAAATGGGTCTGTAGACTAAGACTCAAGCTATCCCATGATGTTTGAACCAACCATCATTTTGTTTTGTTTTTCAAGACAGGGTTTCTCTGTAGCTTTGGAGCCTGTCCTGGAACTCATTCTGTAGACCAAGTTGGCCTCCGACTCAAGAGATCCACCTGCCTCTGCCTCCCAAGTGCTAGGATCAAAGGCGTGTGCTACCTACCACCACCCAGCTACAACTAGCACTCTAACACAGCAGTGATAGGCAGGACAGAAGTTACTGGGGTCAAATGGTTGAAGCCTAACATGGTTGAGTGAGAGAGCCTCCTTTCTCTGGAATCATGACAGAGCACCATACAGGGCTGACTTAGGACCTATTGGCAGCTGCCCCTTGGAATGACATGAAGTAAAGTGGCATGCCAGTTTATCATAGGATGGTGGGTGAAGTGTCACTTCGGTGGAATCCAGGAGTTCTGGGTTGTATCTCTGGCCCATGTCATGTTTCTTGTCTGGTATTAATAAACTACATTGACAGTTTTGGCTTGGCTCTCAGGAAACCAATATTGGAGATATGACAGCGAGAATGACCAGGCACACACAGAAGATCAACAAGGAAGGAGCTACCCCAAACTGATTTCAGAAGGCTTCCCTGGCATCCCCAGCCCCCTGGACACTGCCTTTTATGAGCGGAGACAGCAATTAATTTACTTCTTCAAAGGGTCTTTAGTAAGTACTACTGCATCTCTGAGTCCTTAGTTGAAAGATGTTCTCACTTCAGATGTATGTAACAATTGTGGATCACCAGAGGGGAAAAATACTCAGAACTTCATGTCTACAGAATTCAGTAGAGCGAGACAGAGTCAAGATGCTGTTGTAAGTTCAGAGTCAATATCCTCAGAAGTGTTTGTCTGCTTTACTTTGCAGGTATTCCCATTTGATGTCAACAGAAACCAAGTACTTAATTCTTATCCAAAGAAGATGAGCCAAGTGTTTCCAGCAGTAAAGCCACAAAACCATCCATTCAGAAGTATTGATTCAGCTTACTACTCCTATGCACACAGCTCCATCTTCTTTTTCAAAGGCAATTCATACTGGAAAGTAGTTAGTGACAAGGACAAACAACAGAACTCTCAGCTTCCTCTGAATGGATTATTTCCAAAAAAATCTATTTCAGAGAAGTGGTTTGATGTTTGTGACGTTCATACCTCTACACTGAACATGTGATGAGGACAGAAATCAAGACAGTGTTAGGACTTACGAAAAGCTCTGAGAAACAGCCAGACTTCTCTGCAAAGAAAACAAACCAGACTTAGTAGTTAAAGCAGATATGGTTTCCTAGGCTAAAACTGAACAAGAAAGCATCCCTTGAACTATAAAAATAGATTTAAGGATCAGTTAACTTGTGGGAAAAGTATCTTTTAGAAACATCAAATAATTTACCCTAGGAAATTCCCATCTTTTCTTTCAACTTCATATGACCTCTGCCATCCCAATAGTGCCACCAGTGGTCACAACATTGTGTGGTACAGAAATGGCTTTTACAGCACTTAAACTGAGAATTGAAATTAGCTATACTGCAAAAACACTTCATGACGTGTTTAACACCTGACAGGAACCAAAGGTCCCCAGTGAGTCTTTGTCTGGCACAATGGATAGACCTACATCTCTGCACCCTGCAGTGGTGGTCCTGCTGCCAAATGCACCTTGTTTGTGCAAATGGCCTCATCCCCAACTGGCTGGGGCTCTGCAGAGCATGACCTTTCTGGCTCACCCTAATTGGCTTAGTGGTATATCTCCTTGCAAAGCAGTGAACACTTAACTGTTTATGTCCCTCGGGCCAGGCCATGCCACAACAGGGCTCTGGAAGCTAGCTAGATAACTAATTTTCCTAATCTAAGAGGCATTATCCTTAACTTCCATGCAACAGGGATTATGAATTCTTTTTGTTTTGTTTTACTCTGTGTAGCCCTGGCTGTCCTGGAACTCACACTAGAGACCAGGCTGGCCTGGCCTCAATCTCAGAATCTCCTGCCTCTGCTTCCCGAATGTGAGTGCTGGGATTAAAAGCGTGCACCAATGCCCAGCTAGCTTGTGACTTCTTAATAAACAAAGCCACTGTCATATAATGATGGTATCTGGACAATGAAATCACCTGAACAAGATTCAGAAACCTGAGTGGTCAGGCATCAGAGTCTTCTAAAGGAACAGCTAAACACATGTACTTCAGGAAACTTTAATTTAAACCAACATAAGTAATTACAACACAGTTGAGAAGGATCTTTTATTTCTCCTGCAGAAACGTTCATGTTATGGCTATAAGGCAAAGAGCCGAAATCTCTACTTCCTTGATTAAAAACCATTTTCCTTCTGCCTGAAGGCTTTTGAGCTAAGGAGAGGGGCTAGGAGACAAGCAGTCCTAACACCTCAGCTCATCTCTAGGGAAACATGGAGAAATCTTGTTGAATTCATCTGCTCCAGAGGTGTTATGCTCAGTGGAAGCAGCCAGTCTCTTCAGTGGAGGAAAGGCTGTGTTACTGTGGACACACTCATTGTAGGGGCAAAAGGACACAGTAGTTGTGAAATGGGACTGATGAGGTGGTTCAAAAGCTTTACAATTTCACCAAAACTTTAGGAGTTTCAGTGATTCTTATAAACAGACAAAAATTTGCTCCAAGGATAATGCAAACCAAACAAGGACTAGACAAATGGCTAGAGAATCTAATCTGCCTTGCTGCAATGGAGGCCAGCTCAAGTGAGACAACCCACAGCTGCAGGTGTGGCTGGACACCAGACTCACCCAAGCAGAAGAGTCTGCTTCATTTACATGCTGTACACTTTGTTGAAAGAATCAGTCACAGCCCCATATGCAGTCAGCTTTGGTAACAGGAGAGTATGAAGGCATGCAAGTGGGCAAGATCCCCAGAGCAGCATGGCACAAGCAGAATGTTCCCAGGAGCATGAATGGGGGCAGCCTTTACCATATCTATGATGTGCTTCGTAAAGTTTTGCTGATCACAACCAAATCAAATCACAGCAGTGTGAAGAATGCAAGTGGGAAATACCAAGGTATGTTAAATAAATAGCTTATTTATTCAAAATAGTTCTCTTACCTTATTCACAGTTTCGAGTTTAAAATGAAAAAGTGATAGTACCTATTCTTTACCAATGTCACAGAAAGTCAAAGAAAAGTGAGTCCTTTGAGAACATGCACTGAATAGAGACCTGCACAGTATCAGTCTTCAAAAAAATCTACACCACAGATTGGAAAGGGTACACTTCTTGTGCAATAGAAGGAAATGCTGATGTGCAGAGAGTTTCTACTAGCCATTTGAACCCGTAAAGTCACTTGGATAAAAGTTTTCTTGGCCAAAGTTAACATTTTATCCAAAATACTCTCATCTTCCACCCGGTGGCTTAACACACTTCAAGAATATCTGTAAGTGTAATCACATCATAGGAAGTCTGCTATTGCTGAGGAACCATGCACTTCTCGAGGAAATACACCGGAAAGCGTTTGGTTCCATTCTGGTTTTTCACCTTCAAAGGAAGAAGCCAAAGTACCCCACATCCTCTGCCTGCTGTGGGAAACGAGTCTCCACTGTGGACCTGTTTAAATGGCATTTCCTCATATTTAATAAGACTCAGCACCGAGTGGACAGAACAGCTCCGGGTTGGGAAGGCACTGACATAGAGTCCTCAGGTACAGCTCTGGGTCAGGCGACAGCACTGCCACTTGAGCCGCTGCTCCCAGAGGCAAGCTGCTCCAGCAAACAGATGATGACATCAATTCTTTCTAGCAGAGTTGAGTTTCTGTTGGCAGTTGCTCTCAAAAGCTGGGAGTAAATCTGCTTGTTGGTTTGGAGGACTGTGTCTTCTTCAGTGTTACTGCTAGAGTTAAAAACAGACAGATGAAGGGGCTAGTGGGAGGGGCCAGAAACAACAGGCACTTCCTAGAGCAGCTGCATTTACCTATGGTTGCTCAGTGTATCAATCAGACCACTGCCTCAGTGGTGAGAAGCCTCACTTAGCACCTCAGCTAACTGATAAGGCACCGTGAGCAAACAAAAAAGACATGGTCAAATACATGCCACCAAGAGAGTAAAGTGGGAGCTGGGGTTGCTAAGGGCATGGAGAGGCTAGGTGGCCATTCCTCTACTAACCAACCCACATCCCAACTGGAAGCTGCACTCTGGCCTCAGACTCAAGATTCAACTTCTTCCAATTGCACAGATCATGCTTTTCCTTAACCTGTCACCCACTGAACTAAATGCACTATTCACAGGCTCCACCATGTCAAACAAATCTTTTTCCTCGTAAGATAATTAGCTGATTTACCTTACCTACCATTTTACTCAACTAAATATTTTATGTATTTGTCTAAAGACAGTCTATTTTGACTTATTCATTTGTTCTCTTTACTACGAGAGGATTCCGGGTCCCTCAGAGACTACTTTACTTTTTACAGCTTTTCATCATTTGTCTAAAGACAGTCTATTTTGACTTATTCATTTGTTCTCTTTACTATGAGAGGATTCCGGGTCCCTCAGACTACTTTACTTTTTACAGCTTTTCATTTCAAATCATAAAGCCGCTAAAATGTCAAGAGACCCCATTCTTTTAGCGAACACTAAAATTCGTGATAAGAACAGCTCAAATCTTAATCCAAAGTAGAATTCTCTGCAACTTAATAAACAAAATTTGCATTTTGTTCAACAGCACATACACAACTGTCATACCATGAAGCACACTCAACAGCCTGAAAGTGAAAATTTTCAATAAGAAAATTAACTTTAATTTTCTTAGATCTTATTATAATTATTGGGAACCTAAGTCAGTTATTAAGCCTCAGGCTAATGGGGAAAAGTAACAGTCAAAATAAAACTAATACTATTCTGTCAAGTCACATTCTTACTACCTTTACTCTCAAAGGAGATAACTAGGTCTGCTTTTTTCCAATTTCAATAAAATTATTAGCTATTTCACCTGCACATGAGTGAAACACAACCAAGTCACTGACTTAGTAACCATAGCATTCTGCTTCAAACCTACCACAGTACCATGTTTCTTTTGCTTAGTAGACCTGAAAACACAAGTCAGCTCAAAGGATATGCAACCTGCATGAAAACTTTAGATTAAAAACTTTAATCTAAACTAGCTGGGTGTGATAGCGGATGCCTTTAATCCCAACACTTGCCAGGCAGAAGCAGGTAGATCTCTGAGTTTGAGATCAGCCTGGTCTACAGAGTTTGGGACAGCCAAGGCTACACAGAGAAACTGTCTTGAAAAACCAAAACGATAAATTTTTTTCTTTAACATTAATAACCTGATCAGAAATAAGATTTACTTAGGTCACACATAGGACAAAAGACTCAAATTATTACCTGTTAGCCAATCAAACCACTCATTTGTGGAAAAAAATCACCAAATTAGCTCATTGGCACATATACTGCCACCTTGTAGACACAACAGTAAACCTTAAAAACCTACCCGCAGTTAGTTTTTAGGCACTAAAAGCCGAGTCCCTTCTCCACATGTGTGTTATTTACTCTGCTTTCTTGTTCTTTGAAAAGATGGATACATGTGCTAAACTATAGTGAACATACCAACACACCTTGCTGCATACTTGAGATTTTCTCCAATAAAAGCTCTCCTTAGGTGAGAGAAAGTTACTCAGAAGCCGTGAATCGAAGACTGAGGTATGCCCCAAAAAACTAAGTTTTGGCTGCCCTTGTCCTCCCTTCCCAAACAGAATGAGAACATGGGAAGGGATCAGTGTGGATGTGGTTGGCAGTACCCAGTGTGTGTGTGTGTGAAGACAGTCTCTCTGAGATGTGGTGTGAAAGATAGGACAAAGCTAACAGCAACATAAGGAACCACTTTCCACAGATCTACCTCACCCTATGTATCTAGCCTGGGAGGGGCCTCCTAACACTCTTGGAGGATGCTGAAACAAGGTATCCTGAACCCCCATTTATGGTAGATTTTCCTCCCACACATATTATAAACTGAGCTTATAGTAGACATAATCACTTATCTGTTTTCTCCACGCCCCCCCCCCCAATAAAAACCAAAAGAGGGTTTCTCTGCTCTCCAGTGCTGGGATTAAAGGCATACACCACTACTACCCAGCTGTTTTCTTCTACTGAGAACTTTTAGCCCATTTCTCTCTCTCTCCTCCCCCTCCTCTGGTTTTTTTGAGACCCCCCAGGACAACCATGGTTCCCCAACCCCCAAAAAGAGCCCCCCCCCCCCCCCCCCCCCCCCCCCCAGTGCTGGGATTAAAGGCATGCGCCACCACCGCCCAGCTAGCCCATTTCTCTTAATTTTGGCATATTCAAATTGTTAGCATCATTACCCTCTTGTGACCTGGGGCATTATGACAGATGTTACATGAACACAGGCCAGCAAGCAGGCTACTAAATGACTAACAGACCAGTCATGTGTATGGTGTGGATATGCTGGACAAAGGAATGATTTACATCCCCAGACCGCATGCGCTTCATCGGGCTATGCAGAATGACACAGCACTTATGAGCTGTTTACTTCTGGAATTTTCCATTTAATATTTTGAACTTGAGTTGACTGCAGCTAATTAAAACCTCAGAGGTGGAACTTTAGCTGTGGGCATCTACTATTGTTAGAACTTGAATCCTGTGGTATAAAGAAAGCAGGTGTGGCAAAAAGAAATTCTCAACTGTAGCTCTGTTCAAGTTATAAAAATGAACTCAACTGAACACCTATCAGGTGAAACTTCTCAGACTCTGCTGTCCTAAAAGATGAGCAGTTTCAACACTTCTAACAACACATGGCAAAAAATAGAGAACAGAAAGCAAGGCAGAGATGATAGTGAGGGGCTATCTCATGGGGGCTTGAAGTGACCACTGTGAAAGAGAAAGGCACTAAAGAAAACTTAGAGACAGCTGCTTGCTTAATGTCAGCAAGGAGCATGACATTATGGAGTGATACTTTCATCTATTTTCCATGTTTTATAATATGAGCAAGACTACACTTGTGTTTTTATATTATGCTCCTGATGTAGTACTTGTACTCAATTTCAAGTTAATGATGTCAAAAGAACAGCTCGGGTGGAACAACACACTGCACATATCAGCAGAGGAACCTGGGAAATTCTTGGCTGTGTACCTCATCACTCTTCTTCTCTCCTCCCTAAAATCCCAAATTTGAGACTCTAACATCCTACCACATACCTTGAAGGGTGCAAGTGCCCTCAGTATCCACATCATTGCTCTGAATTCACATTAAAGACATGTTTATAAGTACTGCTAAACAATTCAGGGCCTTCATTCCAGGGTTACTTGTCTCTCTAATATTGTATTTACCCTATGAATATGCAGTAGGCACATGGTACACGATTCTTACAAGGCATAGTACTTAAAATTTTGTATTTTCCACACACAACATAAAAAAAATACAACCTACTTGTTCCTTATATATGTAGAGAGAACTCATGTTCTTTCCATAGGCGAAGTGTTAGCAAAGAAGGTTCAATAAACCATATAATAATTTACCTCATTTTCTTTTTAGATGATGACAGCAGTTTGATGGATTGAAGGAGAAGGAAGGACAGACGAGACTCAAATATACTAAGGAGTTTGATCACTTCTTCTTGATTAAGATTAGGTGAAGAATCAGCAGCCGGTGTAGCTTCATTATTCTTAGGCTAAAGACAGCAAAAGGTTACTTCACTTAAGCTGCCCTTCTCCAGTTTCATATGCAGAGATGGCAAAGCTGCCCCTTCAATCCAGATTATGGAATCACAAACAGGAAGCAGACCCAAGAGCACTTTGACAAAGATAGAGTAAAGTCCCCACAGCTAAGAAGTACTAACAAAAGAAATGAATCCTGCATGGAAATTTTATAACTTCCCAACACCAACTGGTTGCTACAGAACCAATATGGAAACGGATACCACCTAACCAGGACCCACCAGTGCTGGAAAAGTAAGGAGTTGGAGGAGCACAGGAGCACACTCTGCAGAAATGCTGGACTATCCTGTGGGGCTTGGGAAGCAAACACTTCTAGGCAGTCCACTAGGACTGAGAGCACAGGCTTCCCTGCTTTTGGAAAGCAAAGGCAAAGACACCTCCAAACCAGAAAAACAACCTTAATAGGCTTTGTAACTTGCTAACAGGTCCCTTGGTGAATATGGCCCATTAATGATCATTCTTAAAAAAAAACTTTCAAAATATAAAAAATATACATGCATTAAAGTAGGTCAGTAATACTATCATGCAAATGTAACTGCTGTGCTTTGAGGCTCCTATGCAGTATGTAGACTTAAGACATGGGCACAGAAGAAAGTAACTGGACCACTGGGTCCTACCTGTGTCAATGCTGCCTCTGGAGAGTGCATCAGGTAACTGGTGTAAACTAAAGTTCCCAGGGGGTGAGTAAGTGAGTAGGGGAGCTACATGTGTGTTAAACATTCTATAAGGCTAGCTGACTAATTAGAACTTCCACAACTGTGAAGAGCTAGAAGGCTGCAGGTCAAATCATTTGGGGGTAGTTTTAGTGCTCTTAAAAGCCATTCACTGCCCACCTGTGTCTGGCCTAACATCCATCCTTGTGACAATTAGGTAAATGCTTTTGGAATATACCAGTAGACCTTTAGTTTCTGCCAATCCTAAGGCTAAGGATGCCATCGGATAGCCTCTAAAACCTATCTTTAGCATAGGTCCCTGCTTTCTTGTAACTCACCTGTATGATAGTCCCACCAATGTATTTATGAAATATGACTTTCTTAGTTCTATTACTATATAATTTCAAGAAACTGACCACACTGGATGGTAGGATCTGGGTGACATTCGTCTGCATCTCCAAGCCATGTTCAGCCACACAGCTGCAGAATAAACTGTCTCATCCTCTGTGTTTCTGAATCAACACTGGGCTAGTTCTCCCAAGCATAAGTTGTTGCAAAGAGGCGACTTCATATCCTGCCCATTCTGCATGTGGCCTGTTCCCTTTCCATTTCACCATGCTCAACATGGTTTGGGAACCTTTACCAGGAAAATGGTGCCATGCTACTTGGATCCGCTAATGTGAATCACAGTCATGGGTCAATGAACTTTTTAACAACTCACCCAGCCTCTGGTATTTTGTTTTACCACACAAACAGACCAAGACTTTTAACCAATTAGTAATGTACTTTTATGCAGTAATATGCATATATGCACCTATTCATAAATATGTGCTACATGCCTATTACATATGTTTACCATAAAACATAAAAATTTTCTCCAATTACCTGGTCACATTCCTCCACAAGCTCCTTCCGGATGAGCTGGAATGCATGGTCAGTTTTCACCATGATATCAAGCGCCCCAGATAATGTTTTTAACTTTCCAACATTGCTATTCTGACC